ATAATTAAAATTATAATCAAATTAAAATTTTAATTTGAATTGAGTATAAAAATTTTATTTAAAATTATTTCAAATAACAAAAAATTTAGTTTCAGTTCGGGCAAGTCCAAAGCACAATTCCGACCAAATGCCCAGCCGTAGGAACGGCTGTTTCATCATATGCTCCGTTGCTACCTTGTCTCTTGATATCAATTTTTTTGATCTTCTCCTTCTAATAAAATAAAATATAATATTAAATATATATATATATATATAATATTTTGTATGCTCTTAATTCTTGGTGTCGGCCAAAGTAATAGCTGCAATAGCAGCCCTCTGTTTTCTTTTTTCTTAAAATTTTCCTTTATTCAAAAAAAAAAAAATAATATCATAAATAAATTTTTAAATAAAAAAATTAATTATATACCAACACATGATATTATAAATTTATATAAATGATACTATAACTATACAATTTTCAATGTTTAAAAGCAACCTGGAGTTTATATTTACTAATTTTAATAAATTGTCAAATTATTATTATAATACAATCTCATTTTTAATAAAGTCATTAATAATATTATTTTTTTGTATATTAAATAAATAATATAATAAATAATAATTGTTTCCTTCTTAATTTTTTTATACATTTTAAATTTTCTAATGTATAAAAAAAATATTTTGACTTTTGCCTTTTGCTTTGCATCTCAGCAATAGCAAAACCGAGGTTTCGTTTTGTTTCCGTTTTTCGGTAATAAAATAGATCTTCGGAAGCCCACAAGCCCACCGGTCTTTGATATTCAATGTTGGGCTTGTATGAACAATAACTTTTGTGGGCCTTATGATCCAAAGATCACAATGGAGTGCTAATGGAGTGCTAGGAGCACTCATCAATTGCACTCTCCAACCAACGCATTTCTTTTTATTGGGCCATGTGAGCTTGCTTTCAAGACTAGGGTTGGGGATTAGGTTTGGATTATTTGAATTGAATTGAATTTTTGATTATTTAAAATCATTTTAAATAAGAATTTTATGCTTAATTTAAATTTAAATTTAAATTTAAATTTAGTTATGATTTCAGCTATATGAAATTATTCAAATAATTTAGTTAATTAATTAAAATAATCATTTTTTATTAAAATTTTTTTCTTTTTAATTTTAATTATTTTTTAGTTTTTTTCTTTATATTTGTATCTATAAATTTGACTAATAAAAAAGAATTTTGTTCAAAAAAATTTCATATAACATAAAAACCAAAATAAAAAATAAAATAAATTTATATTAAAGATTTTTGAGTAATTTCAAATAATTTAGTGGTTCATATTAATAATTTTAAATATGAGTCAATATCCATATTTGAACCAAAATTAATTTTGATCATTTTAATTTTATTT